CTATCTGTTTGAGGGTTACCAAATCAACGGTAAGTCAATTTATCGAAAAACAGAGTATACAGTTTTTTACTCTGAAGTATGCTCTGTAAGATAAGATAAAAACAAATTAATTTGAAGCAAGTCAAGAAATTGACTTTTGGCCACAAAATAGGCTCAAATTTCCCATAGTGCACTGTGCTACAATTTTAGGGTCATGGATTATAATGGGGATGTGACTCACGCAGATCGATAGCGCTGGACTAGAGTAACAAAACCCTAAGAACATTTTGAAAAGTGAGCTCACTTTTAAAAGCTATGACCACTCAAAGTAGAACCTTTTCAATGTGTGTTTTTATTCAAATTTCTTAACATACGAACTCTTCGGAATAAGCAAAAGCAACTCAACTATGACACGAAGCACCCGTAAGGCTGGTCGCCAAAATAGAGTACATAAGCCGACCTGAAGAATTTGTTGGTTAAATAGTACCTAAGCTGTGAAAATTGTTCCTAAAAGTATCAAGCTACTCGTATCCTGTTTAACTTATGTACATACATACATATTTGGAATTACATTAGAAGCGCAATCTGATTAGATAGAGGCGTCTTCGAATATTATAGTGAAGATGTTCCTAAAAATTCAATAGCCTGCAGAAAAAAATTATCAATTGATTAAAATGACCTACTTCTAGTCAGCTTTTTTGAGACAGTTCAATAAATAACTAGCTTTTAATTAGCTATGACAAAACTAACTTTACCATAGTTGTAACGTCGTGTAGGAGTCATGCAGACGTTATCGGGAGTTCGTTTTTTTTACAAATTTCTATTTAAATATCCTCATACAAAAATGACTTTCAATACTATTTTTCTGAACTTCGCAGCTTCTTTGTTGAATTCAGGAACAAATAAAAGAAAGATCGAAATTTTATATTATCATGTTGAAGTTGTCTGACGGTGTTCAAATATGGGACCACATACAGCAGAATATGTAACCAAATATGAAATATAATAAAATAAAGTAAATAAATAAAAAAGTAAAAAAAACAAAAAAAATAATTTCTTATTGATATTTTATGTCCAAAAGTAGTTAGCTACAAGTTAGTTGACATCTAATGCAGAGGAAACCAGTACTCACTATTTTGCGGTTATCGCCCTTTAAAAGTAGTTAGTTACGGCGAAAGGTAATAGTTATTAAATAGTTACCACTAGTTGACAGCTAGTTAGTTAATAGTTAGCTACAAACTAGTTCCATTTCGTGCAGGGTACTTATCAAAAGAAAACATTTATGGCTTACGAAGCTTAACCGGGCATGAACACAGGCTCGGCATAATGGTAGCGGACACAGCTAACCACTACACCCTGGCGACGACAATAGGTGCATTCTTTTTAGAAGCGAGCGACAAAAGAACGCTCAACTCGGGTAAAATTTCCTTTTAGCTACTTAAGCAACCCTGTTGGTAGCTAGCAAGTAGATTTAAATACAAAAATCAATTTATGTGAGTAATTATGCGAGGTATTTGCGTACTATAAACACTTATTTAAAATATGTCACGTATATAAGGGAAAAAAATCTCCCTCCACTTTCCCATTAAGAATTCACAATAGAGCAGTTTTTTCACTTAACAACACTACCCTTCAGGTCGCGTATTTTTTAACCGGCCTGGCTGAACTCGGATAAATAGCCGGGTTTGTGTTGTTGCTTTGCGTGTATTTCGTCATTTAAGCGAGTGTTCTTTTGTAGCTCGGTTGCAAAAGAATGCACCCAATATTATCTGAAATTTGATGGTGGGGTACGAGGACGTACGAATAGCGAGACGAAGATATAAAAGTAAGAGTAATAGAGAATATTGCATTCTTTCTTATTTCGTAGAGAAAAATGCTGAAAAAATATCAAATACCACTCTAGTAATGAGAATTTAATCTTTTAATCCAGATTAGTTCTATAGACTTGAGTTGTGCGTCTCTTCGTTAGAAAATGTAGTGTGTTTTAAATGCCATTTATACGGTGGCATTTTTCGAAAAGTGTTGCCAAATTATAGTTTCGTTCCTCAACTTTTGTAGATAGAACCTGTAAATCTGTCAAAAAGCAAAACTGCTCTCAGAGAAAGAGAAAAACCAAAATTTACGGGAACGCTTTTCAGGTAAAAACTGGTAAAACTGTCAATTACACCGTGGACGGCAGTTTTTGCTTACATAGCTATTTTTTATCATTGGCAATCTGCTGAATTAAACGCAAATACACAAGCAAATTAACAAAAATGCTTACAAAACGTGATATTTCTTCTTTACGATATATTTAATAAGGTGAAAATACTTTGCCAGAGAACCGAGTACGGGAACGCTTTCTAATAAATTCCTGTAAATTCTTGCGAGTAAAGGCGCTGGCCCAATGCAGGCTTGCTTTGCACGCCTTACTTACTTTAATTTGCTTTGATTTACTTCAAAAACTCGTTTGGCCAAATGACGGCTTGGAACGCTGTCAAAGCTACCAGCTGTGTAGTTAAAAAATTAAGGTCTGTTCCCTTACACTATGAATAATTTTCCCACAAAATTCCAGAAAACTAAAAACAAAAATACAAACAATCTTTTCAGATTTATTTTTAAATTGATGCGAATTTGAATGCATTTCAAAGGAATGATAATAATTATACATATATAACTATAGGTACATTTATTAAAAACAAAAAAAAAATCCAATTATTCAAGAGACGACTGACCAGTAGTTTGACATCATAAATATCGCTAGCTAGCAAGAGAAATTAAGGATTAATGTACTTGTTTTATTTTTTCTTATTTATATTCAATGAAAGGCAAATTTTCTAAGTCCAGAACAGGCCCCGAAAATCCGATAAGGCCTAAATAATACGAAATCTTTTAATAAAGATCGAATCCTTTTGATTCGTATGGAGTTTTGCTTTGCTTTAAACACGCAAAATGTTGTATTCAAAGTTCCTGTAAAATTTGTAAAAATGGACTTAGCAACTTTTCAGCCAGCGATATGTTAAATATAAATATGGAAACATATAATCATTTTTATTAAACTTTGAATAACTTATATTATATATATTTTTTTTAATTACGTAAAAAAAATTGTGTACATAAAAGTGTGCAGCAGTTTGTTTGAATTGATTTAGAACGGGAACATACCTTTTTGTCAAAAGCCTACGAAACGCTTTCAAATAAAACATTTGCCTATTTGAAACTTTGAGGCGCTTAAAGCAAGTGAAGCAAAGCTGCCATTTGGCCAGCCTTCATACATTTTAGTATATTCCAAATAACTTTTGACAGTTCTCAAAGCGAGGCAAGCAAAGCAAGCCTGCATTGGGCCAATACCTTAAGGGAACGCAACTTATATTAATGTCAATTGAAAACCTGAAAAGTCTGAATTTATTAATTTAAAACCAACCTTTGCAGCAATAAAATTGTAAACAGCTTTTTGTTTCCTCTCCTTGCAGCCTTACCTAGCATAAAAGCATGCCATTTTTACATATAAGCCGCTGAATTTATTTTTCTGCGTCACCCTAAATAGGCTTGCCTGCGTTTGCATTTGATCAAATCAACGTCAAATCAAAATCTCACGCAGAATAAAAATTGGAAATTGAGTTAGCTCTTTACGCGCGCCGTTCAATTTCGGTTGGTAAAGATGGGATTTGTCATAATAACCTTCAATACTACATATTACAACGGTGGGCAAACGCGTCTCTTTGAGCCAAATGCAAAGTGTTGTTTTTTTTTATTTATTCTTTTGATAAACTCATACGCAAATTGAGATCGGAACATTACACGCAATTGGAGAATGAAAATTGGTTTTCTGACTTAATGTTCTCTACCGATACGATGGAACATTTGCTAAACTTGAATTTGTCTCTACAAGGAGAGAACAAAAATGGTTTTGATTTGTAGCAAATTATTTTAAGTTTCGAAGCCAAATTATGTCTTTTTATACATGTTCTCAAAAAAAAAGAATATTTCATAATTTTCCTTGGTTAGAAAAAAATATTGCACTTGTCAAAGAGAATAAATTGGACCCCAATGTCGCAAAACTGCATGATTTAAAAGCAGATTTCGTAAAAACATTTGCCGATTTGAAATTATTTAAATGTACGTTTGCATACTTCATAAACCTTTTTTTTTGTGACATTATTGAGGATGAATTTACAATATCCAAAATACTCCTTTTTAAGAAAAGCGAAGAAGAGTTGGAGTTTTTGGAATTAAAAAAAAATAAGGCACAGGAAATACAACATGCAGCTTTGCCATTGCTTGGATTCCAGCAACAAGTACCATATTCAAATCATCGGCTGTTGAAAACAGCTGCCTGCCGTATATTTTCAATTTTTGGTACAACGTATAACGAGTCTTTGTACTCTACAATGAAATTCGTCAAAAGTCAAAATACCGATCACAATTGACTAACCAACATTTAACGGAACTGTTACGAACGACTTTAACTGACGTAAAACAAGATTTTGAAAATTTAGCCAAAGGCATCTTTTGAATTTTTTTAAATATCTCTCTTACGTACATACATAAGAATAATAATTAAATTAATTTATTTCATTTCTAATGATAATTTTATTTAAAAATAAAATTTTTGTTTTTGTT